GGGAAAGACCCTGCTTTACATTTTAAATGGGGAGAAAACAAGCACAACTTGTCTTCCCCTATATAGCTTATCGGCGGCTGGTAAGGACTGCAAAAGTGTGACAGGTGTTTAGGAAAGGCTTCTCTGAGGAGGTGACATTTGGATCTTGAAGGAGATAGGGAAATACCCTGCAGGGAAAAGGGAATTCCAAGCCCATCTCAAACAAGGCCTGTCCTGGCACCCCTGCAACGCCGCCTTCTCACCCGAGTGTCGTGGCAGTGAACACGTCCCTCGACCCAAGCCCCCACCTCAGCCGCACACAGTAGAGCCGCCACGCTGGCAGGTGGGTGGGTCCAGAGCACCATCAGTGGGCAGCAGGGAGGACGGCAGGGAGCTGCGGGCACCCGCGCTGACCCTCACTCGGAGCAGGCAGCTCGCCGCCCCGCGCCCGGACGCTGGGCCCGCAGGACAAAGCGCGCTGTCCGCGGCCACTCAGCGGTCCCGGCCAAGAACGCTAACCCACTTCGCAGCTGGGACGGGGGGGGGGAGCCACAGAGAGAAAAGTACTCACCCTGTGGTAGACGCCATGTTCGTCAGGCACGCGCGTCACGTGAAGTGAGGCGTCAGCTGAGCCTGGTTGAGTTCCCACGGCGGGGGGCGGGTCCGAGGCGGGGCCGTGGGCGGGGTCAGGGGCGGGGCTCTAGGCGGAGAACCAAGGGCTGAGGTCGGGGGCGGGGACAGGAAATAAGGCCCCGCCCCTCAAGCCCCCGCCCCCTCCGGTACCGGGCTTCGCAAAACCAAGAGGGGCTGAGTGAGAATTTAATTGCAGGTGGCGGGCTGGGGCCAAGGGCTACACCGCGCGGAGCGCCCCGGTGGGCAGAATCCGAGGTCTTTTCGGGGCAAGGGCAGTGGATACCTTGATACTGGTTCGGCCCCCGACCTGGCCTCTCAGCCAGCCCGGGCGAAGAGAACAGGAATAAAGAAATTATGAGGGAGCAAGGGAGGGACTTGGGGCAGAGGTGACAACTGCTGCTTAAGAAAGGGTTTAAGGAAAGGGCAGAGCAATTGGAGGATCCTAAAGGTTTACTGTCCTGGAGAGGGGGTGGGGGAAAGAGAGTTGCAGCCTCAGAGCTGAGCAAAAGGCAGACCTGTAGGGCCTTGAAAATGGAGCTGGAGGGACCAGCAGTTAGCGTAATGGCTATGTCACTGGACTCCCATGTAGTCGACTGTGGTTCGAGTCCCGAACCCGGTGGCTTAAACTCATGCCGGGTGTGTGTGTGT